CAAGGGGCATGGCTGGCTTGATTGACAGTTGGCAGGACCATACAGATGAAGCCAGCAGAAGGCGGTAAATGTGGGCGGGCAGAGAGGGCCTGCCTCTCAATCCGTCTGATCAATCGCTGCTCCTATGGTTCCGCCCCCCTCCAACGATTTTTGCGTCACTGCCTCCAAAAATCCAAGATGTCAACCAGGAAGTAGCAAAACCCGGCTTCATTTTCTCAGTGCAGAAACCAATGGGTGACGTCACGGTAGCTACGTCCATCTTTTATACAGTCTATGCTTTGGCTTGGCTCCGGGCTGCAGTCAGACCATAGACTGTATAAAAGATGGCCGTAGCAACCGGCCCTGAAAAATGAAGCCAACCTGGAAGTGTCAAAAACCTATGTCCGCAAGCTGCTGGCTCCAAAAAGCCCTGGCTCCCATAGACTTGAATTGGAAAAGAAGTGATCACAGATCACGAAATACTGCATTCCTCCAGCTCAGGACTTTTTTCTTATTAGTTTTCATAATCAAATTCAGAGATCAGATGGCCAATCTAAAAATAAATCAATACTGAATTTTTTTAAAATCGTCGAAATTTTGCGGGGCAAGGGGCGTGGCTGGCTTGATTGACAGTCGGCAGTGACGACACAGATGAAGCGAGCAGAAGGGGGTAAATGTGGGCGGGCAGAGAGGGCCTGCCTCTCAATCCATCTGACCAATCGCTGCTCATATGGCTCCGCCCCCCTCCGACGATTTTTGTGTCACTGGCTCCAAAAATCCAAGATGTCAACCAGGAAGTAGCAAAACCCTGACTTCATTTTCTCAGTGCAGAAACCAACGAGTGACGTCACGGTAGCTACATCCATCTTTTATACATGAGTCAGACCCTCTGTCACTGAGGCGCCAAACTGTGTTTTTAAGGAAGCGTATCTGTCAACGGGATGCATCTCTGACTAAAGAATCACAGATCTTTTGAAACTAGCTCTTTCCAAGCTATTATGGAGCCCAAAAGAAAAAGAAAGGTTCCCGTCTTGAGGGACCATTTTGATCTTATATCGGCAAATAAGGTATTCGTTTTTATTTACTTGTTGTTTAATCCTGTTCCTGGAGAACTTGCATCAAAAAAAACGTAATCGCTTTAATACCAAGACATTGGAACAATTGATTTTTTTGAATTAAAAAAAATTATTATTAAAAAATAAATAAACAAATGCCCTCCTTGCCTCAAGGACAAGTTGATAAGCATCCTCACATCCAGAACACTTTCACTTAGATTTTCGCATGTTACGGCACAAGTTCACATTATTTATTGACTGTAAATTTTAAAGATATTAAATAAATTAAGATATAAAATAATACGATATAAAATAACTTAAATTATATTATTGTATATACTAGGTCATTAAATCAGTATGTCAGCTGAGCCTGTCAACTCGGTTGCCTGTAAGGATTTTTAAGATCCAGCAGGTGTCAGTATTGAGCAACACAGTGACACAGTACCAACACCTTATCAATACAGTTTTGGTAATGTCCCACAACGCTTCATGAGACCTCATCTACCCATCACTACTGAACAGCAATTTACCACAACCGTTTCTTGTTAGTTAAAAATAATTTTACTTTTTTTTTTTAAAAAGTCAAAAACTGCCTCAAAAGACACATTGGCGCACTGTAGAGAAAGGTAGGTTTCTTCACCTTTTGAATTTGACTGACGTTAGATGTTTATTTTCTTCTCTTTCTGTAGTCAATGCATATTTTGATTTCTGAACTCAGCACAATTCAAATGCATTTGTATGGCACCAGTTCGAAATATGTACCATCTCAAGGGGCTTCACGTTGACCTTCCAGAATGTGCACAGAGGGACCAACAAATCCAGATTTCTCTAGATTGTGTTTCAGCCAAGACTTTGCAACAGTTTTATGGAGAGAAAAAACAAAACAAAAAAAAAACAGCTTCTTTTTGCCAGGAAGGGAATACTTTCAGCGTAACCAGGCTCAGGGAGGGCGGCCATCTGCCTCGACAGGTTGTTGGGTAGGAGTTTTTGATGTTTTTGACAGCAGGCATTTTAATAGCAGGACAAGCAGGTGCCAACGCTAACAATGACTCATAATGCATTATACAAGGGTCCTGAAACTTGTACACTTAATGGTAGACAGCAGGGGTGGCCTGAAGTGGCCACAACCTGCTGCCAACAACACAACACCAATAGTGAAGCTCTTTAAAGGCCTACAAACGCAATCTTAGACCTGAAATTACATCCAGTAACTATTCTTCTGGCAGAACTTTTTTACAGAACCAGAAAATGCTTACACACTGATTTCATGTCATTGCCATTGTAAGTGTATAGACTGTATAAAAATGCATCTTCCCTTTATATGTGAATAGGGATTTTGTTTACTATATGCTTTTATTAGTTAAAGTGTGTATGATGTAGACTTAGCTTTTGCACAGGCTCTTAAAAACTGATAAAACCTGCACTCCAGAGTTCTGGTAACAAGTGGGACAAACTGCAGAACAATGAAGACTGACACAGAATGCGCAGCCAAAAGAAAGAAACAAAAAGGCTGGATGGACACAGTGTGATGTCTCAACTAGGTAGCAGAACAAGGACACTTTTTGACACAAGTATCCCACATGTACTTATTTTATATAATTTAAGCAGTAATTATCTGAGGAGCTTTATCAACAATTAAAAAGGAATAACCTTAAGCAACTGTTTTGAGTTTTAATAAACTGAAGGTTCTATAAAAATCTTACCATACTGTGTAGGAGTGTACTTCTGCATAGCAGTCTTCCCTTTTTAAGTAAATGATAATAGTGAGGGTCCCAAAAAGATAATATTTGGCCTACATAGAAATAGGCTGAAAAATGGTAATGAGACTCTGTGACACCCCGGAAGGAGCAATATTTTCAGCGTGGGCACCCCCAAAAAAAAATTTCTTTCGACTAAAAAGGAGCCATCATTAATGGCATTAGTTGCACCTCTGCTTTTTCTACAAGTGAAGATGTCTGCCGATGATGGCGCTTTCCACCAGTTGTCCTAATGCAGTGCAGCAATGAATAATGCTATTGACATAGATTGGGCTTGTGTCTGACTAATCAAAATATCCTGTATTTTAGGAGCAGAAACAGAGCTGCAAGGTGGCACAGTTGGTAGCACTGTTGCTTTGCAGCAAGAAGGTTGCTGGTTCTTTCTGCGTGGAGTTTGCATGTTCTCCCCGTGCAGCGTGGGTTCTCTCCAGGTTCTCCGGCTTCCTCCCACAAGGTCCAAAAATATGTTGAGGTTAATTGTCCGTAGGTGTGAATGTGAATGTGCTTGGTTGTCTGTCTCTAAGTGTGGCCCTGCGATAGACTGGTGACCTGTCCAGGGTGTCCCCTGCCTTCGCCCTAAGTCAGCTGGACAGGCTCCAGCCCCCCCACAACCCTAGTGAGGATTAAGCAGTGTATAGATAATGGATGGATGGATGGATAGGAGTGGTGTCCAGTCCAGTGGTGCAAAGTAACTAAGTACATTTATTCAGGTACTTTGTCTGAGTACAGTTTTGGGGTATTGTACTCTGCTTGAGTATTTCTATTTTCTGCCTACTTCTACTTCACTATCATTCAAAGGCAAGTATTAGATTTTCTACTCCACAGCATTGATTTGATGACTGTACTTACTTTGCCTATTCAAATGAATGACACAACCAACAAATAAATGATGATGTATTGTCATTATCATGTAGATTATGATAAAACTTTATTCATCCCCAGGGAGAAATTTGAAAACTACCCGGGAGGAAAAAGAATCAGCTTCACTTTCACCAGCTGCAGCATTTAAGTTCTGAACACATTAATGCATTATTAACTACAATCCAGAAATATACTATGCATTATTCTGAAACTGGCCATTCTGTGTAAGAATTACTTTTACTTTTATTACGTAAAGTATGTTTTGATGCTGATCTGCCACCTCTCTTGAAATAACATATATGTTTGTAAAAATGTGTGTTTAAAGTAATCTGACAGTTAAGCCAGAATGAGTGCAAAAGATACTGGCTAATTATGAAGTTACTTTTAAAGATGCTTTTTATAATGTAGAGCAGCACACTGAATATTGGCTAAAGTAAATGCAAAAATGAAAATATCTGTGGTTAACAAAATCCTCCATGATGATTAAATAATACACCTGTGAGATCTTGCAGCTACTAGTAAACGCCGTTAGGTGGCGTCATAGTTGCAAGGTGCTGCTCTGCACCATTTTAAACAGGCTTGGATGGCCACAGACTTGGGTAAACTTAAAGCTCTGTCAGGAGGAACATCCAGTAGAAACTCCAAACTCATTCATGTCCCTTTAAATCTGGCTTCAACATTGTTTTCCTTTAATATTACTGCACTGATGAGTGAGCTGATGTTGTACAGTGTGGGATTTAATGCAATCAGAGGGCCAGACTGTTAAATTACTTTGCTTTTATAGAAGAAAAATACTGGAATTTGTTTTCACTGTTTGTGTATTGTTTTAACTTGGAGGACTTTGTGTAACCTGTTTTGTAGAATGTTATTATAAGCTGAAGCCAGAAAATCCAGATTGTATATTGAAGTCAGAGTGTGTTCAACAATGTGAGAATCTGAGGGCAAATGTCTTCCTCCTGACGCTCCCAGCAGACAGTAGCCTGTCTGATCCCCCTCCTCTGCTTCCCAATCGAACATCCTCATAATATCCTCTGGGGGAAGAAATGGTTTTCATGTTGTGGTTTTGAAGGAGAGGGAGGTGAAAAAGAAGAATACCTGACGTGTTTGCCTCAGCCACCAGCAGCAGACGGAGCCCCTCCAAACCTACACCTACCTACCTGCCCACTGGCTGGGGAACTTCGTGCATCCGATAAGGGATCTAGTCCACAAAATCAAGTATAGAGGAAAGGGGTGTGGAATTGGAGAGAGGGAGAAGGAGAGAAGAGACACTGAGGGAGGGGAAAAGGTCAGGGACACGGGGGGGGGGGGGGGGGGGGGTTTATCGCACTGCCAGAAATAAGGAGAGTGTCTACACAAACGGTTTGGCAGACGAAAGCAAGGAAACGAAGTGAAATAAACCAGCAACCCCCCTCTCTGACTCTGACATTTTGCGGAGGGACTAGTGTGGATTTTTAAAACTCTTTTCGACTTCTACCAGGGACATTTTTTGTGCTTCGGCGACGTCCAGGCAATAGAGTGAAGTTTGGACCGCGCGTAATTGGGAGCGTTTATTGCCACGCTGCGTCAGGATGCGCGTCTATCCGCTGCTGGTTTTCCTCTGTCTGCTGAGCGCTGGACGCGCTCAGAAGTTCTCTGCTCTCACGGTAGGAAGAGCCGAATAACTACCAGAATATTTGTCATCCTCTTCCATATGTAAAAGATGGTTTTAAAGTGGTGTTTGTGCATTCCATGCGTAAAAGTAAGAAGACCTCATTCTAGCAGTTTTACTTTAAAACTGAAGAATGTGTTTCTAAGGAAAGTCCTTTAAACTCAAGATTCTTGTGAGCTTTTCCTCTAATTATCTAATTTATTTCATGAAAATACTACTAATAACAAGCATAGGCATACATTTTAGATTCATCATTAAAACATTATGAAGCACATATTTAGGTAAAATCACTCCTAAAGAAAAGTGTTTTATTTTTTCAGTGTTTAATTTCTGATCAAAAGTCAGGAGAACACCAAGTAGAGAGCCATGTGCTGAAAAAAGAGTACTGTGTGTTTTCTGTTCAGTCATGTAAACTCAGTGTCTCTGTGGTTCTGGGTCTCTGCACAGTGTGTTTAAGCTCCTAGCTTGGCTGAGAGGAGCTGACTGATCTGTTAGCAGCATCGCTGTGGTTTGCCTTTAGTGCCTTTACCTGCCTGCCAGCTTCTCCACTCGTCTGTCTCTCTGTCTCATTACTCTTGTTATTCCAGTGACTTTTTAGAGGCTGAGCTGCCCAGAGTGATCAGCTCTGCTGCACTACAGCACATGGCATTGTTTACAGCAGCAGAGCAGCACCCTTTCCATTTTCCATAAAACTGCAAGAGAAAGTGCATCTCCAGTGGAATTTCATGGCCATGATCAAGTGCAGGTACAGTGCTAAAGGAGGATTGATAGAAAGCGGAATGTGCACTGTCAGAGGCTTCCCCCCCTTGATTTAGAGGTTGATGTGACAGCCACCTCCTCACCACCATTATTTATGGTTCGGGTGAAGATGCCTCAGTATCCAATTGGAAACAAATGGCCGTGAGTTGTTAACCTGCAGGTGAAGGGTCGGAGAGCTTGTCTCCCAGACGGCATTGTAGAGTTGTGGAATGTGGGAGGAAGTGTTGCACTGAACAGATGCTCCCCTGAATTGATACAGTTACACACAAGTGTGGAGATAACGTGTGTAATGAGTGCTTCTTTATAGGTGTCATAGGTGGTAATATTTACCCGGCAGTTAATGGAAAGGTTGCACAAGTACAGCTGTGTTTGGATATGACACAGCATCCATTATGTTCTGGATATGACTGTAAGAGTGAGAAGCTTCTCTATTTCACTGCATGTTTCAGCGGTAACTGTGTCTGTGTCATGCCTCCCCACCGTGGTTCATTAGAGCTTCTTCATTGGAATGGCACATGGAGAACTGGACTTTCTTTTACAGGACCTCTTGAGTGATTGATGGCTTATTGTTTGAGTGACACATGAGAGGTCATTGCTGGTTTCAAGAAAATATTTCCATGTGATATTTTGTGCATATTTGAGGTCGAACAGGCAGTTGGGATATTTGCCCAGGTTATTCATGAGGCAGACATTTTTCCATGGTTTATGGAAGTATGAAATAATGTGTGAGGAGATGAGGGCACACAGAACATTGGCTGTGTCTTTCTCAAACCTGTAAGGAGATTTTAAAATAATATATAGGCTCCGTTACCCCCTGTGCTTTCATAAAATTGTGCACCTGTCCAAGGAGGCGTTTTTCATCATCATATGACCATCAGTAGCGTTTCTCAACACCTCTGCTTCTTTTTAACATCGTTCACAGCAGTTAAATGCCTTTTTCTTTGATTGAGTCAGTGGCTGGTTAAAGGCTGACACTTTCTTCCCTTTCCACCATGATGATCCTTTTTGCATCCTTGCATCCACGAAGGAAATTCTGGCCAAGGCCATTTAACACGTTTGCCACGGCTCTCAGCTGGGGCCCCCATTGACCCTGCGGGGCTGTGGTGTGAGGGGCCTCTCGGGCCGCTAGAAGCGGGGGGCCTCCCAGCCCAGAAGGCCCTTATCAGCCCACAATGTGCTCTCTGCTGGAGGCTCGCCTCCTCCATACTCCATTCAATCCCACAATGCCGCAGAGCCAGGGGGAGGTAATAGGATTTGATTTGTATGCTGGTTGGTCTTGGAAAAAAAAATTCCCTTACACTCCGCTTGTCTCGTCCTCTCTCGCCTGTCTCTTGTTCCTTTGCCAACCTCTTGTATTATTTGAGCAGATGCAAAAAGCATCTTCCAACAGAGGTCACATAAAGAAAAAACAAAGAAATTGTGAAAGGAAAGAGAGCAAAATACAGAGAAAGACAAACAGAGAAAGTGAGAGCCAGCTGTCTGGAAGAAGACAAGAAAAGCATTTGAGCAATAAATAGATCTGAGTCTCTACAAGTTTCCTTTTATGATAAATCGGGGTGGAAGCCTGAGCTGCATGTAGCTGAGACGGAGGCCATCCATCACTCTCCACCGTGTTGCTGTGCATGATGTCGGTGCCGACTTGGAGAGGCTGGAATGAGACATCAGGGGAGTGTCAGGGCTCTGCCTCAGCCTCACCCATCCATCACCACGGGCCAAACACACAGAGATGTGCAGCAGACAGCTAGCTACCATTAGGTGTACACAGGAGGAAGAGGTCCTCAACACACCATTAGTCTTTGAAGCTTCTTCCTCTCACTGACTTTCACATCTTATTTGTTGTCTTCCTTCAGTGTGGCCAACTGTGACTTTGAAATCAATATTTGGATGTCTGATGGTGAATCTGGGTGGTTGATTTCACGGGTGGCTGATTTCATGGCTGACTGTGTTTTTCCATGCTGCGTTCTTGGAGCTTTATCATAAACTTGCTGTCACTTGGCGCTCTGCTGTGTGCTGTATAGTGGACATCTAGCAGGATGCTGCGCCGCTGAATGACTCTGTTTGGGTTGTCAGTCTGCTGGCTGGCAGGGGCTGATGCTGATAATGCTGGTGTAGTGTGAGCTCGGGGACGACCAGCTTTGGTGAGTGCTGGCGGGTCAACACCAAGCACGGCTGGATGCACTCAGACACTATCAATGCAGTTAGTGGCTTTGGAACGTCGCAGTCTTTGCAAAAACCCTCTTCGTGTGATCCTTCACAGCTGTGAGAGACAGAACGAAGGGTGAGAGAATTCAGCCGCTGCAAAAGGATGTGTGAAGACAGATGGAGGGTACCAACAGGACGCTGTGATCCAAACAGTCCAAGAAACTAAGAGACACTTACAGGGCGGGGCAGGAGATTTCAGGCAAAGACTGAAGTGGCAAGAGAACTAGAGATTTTCAACCAAATAGTGCTACTGTTCTATAAATGAAGAGTTCATTTGCAAAAACAGAGAACTCCATTCATGTAGATTTTTATTTTTTTGTTGTTTGCTTGAGATAATGTCAATCAAACTGAAGTTGAGTGGATTTGACTCAGTAGAAATGACATGACAAAATTAGAGATAACTTAAGTTTGATTGACGTTGTGTCAGGCAAACAATGGAAAAGTGGGTTTTCTGAAGGTTTGCGAAGATGGAATTTTCTGTTTTTGCAAATGAACTCTTCAAATATATTTAAAGTCCCTCTTCTGTCATTGATTAAATCCCTAAAAAACTCCTCTCAAACTCCTCTGTTTAAAGTTATAAGTTAGAAATGTTTTCCCTGGAAAATAAATAGGGGAAATTTTCTCAAACTTTCCCTCCCCATTGACAGGTTAGGGTTAGGCTCGAGCGCACCAGCTCACCTACGACTCTTCACAAACGCTGTTAAACTACTCTATGCAAACACCAATTCTTGAGAAGAATCATTTCATAGCAAGCCCCACCCTGCAAGCTGACAGGATTTCTTAGGTTTCTTGAGACCCTGGAAGTGTTTAGTTTATGAAAGTAATGTTGCATCTGTTTGAACCATTTGAATAAATTAATAAAATCATCCAGCCAGGCCCATTTTAATTTGCTGCTAAGTTCTAAAGTGGCAGCTTCTTTTTACATAACAATCAATCAAGAAGGCCAAACTTAAAAAGGAACATCTTCCCCACTGTGCCACAACTGCATACTGTTGGTCATTGGTTTTTAAGTTTCAAGTTTCTCTTTCTTGTTATCTCAGCTATATACAAAGCACACAATAAGGAGAAATTGCATGTCTTCAGGAGCATGGTGTGATGTGTCAACAGATATCATGTGCTGCAAGAAACAACAAAAGTGCAAACAAGATATCGTGTGACTTGAAAGGACAGCATGCACAGAATAGCAAATTAGATTCAGATAGCATTGTGTTCAATGAATAGTTCTGAATTTAAAAAAAAATAAAAAAAAATATATATATACAGTATGTGTGTATATATATATATATATATATATATATATATATACTGTATATATATATAAGTATTGGTGTTATTTCAGAGCTGATACCAATACCAAGTTTTTATTCTTTTTGATTATTATAATTTTATTAGTAGTAACGAAGGAGACTAAAACCTGATATTTTGAACCAATATACATTTGCACCAAAAAATAAAATCTTGGTGTCACAAATTTAGAATAACGCAAACGCTAATACGAAATTTATTTGCTATGCCTTTGTTTTTCTAATGTTTTAAATGTGCTTAAATAAAAAGGGAACTTTTTCAACATTTATCTTTCAGTGTAAATAAGCTGTTATGCATGTACATACCCAGTAGCCAATCAGGTACTCCTGTGGGCGGGACATTTCTCAAGTCCCCAGTAAGACAGAAAAAGGCAGCTGCAAAGAGCCAAAGTGTAAATTTTTATATTGAGATTTTATGAAGGATTCATTTTTAAAAACAAAAAAAACAACAACAACAAAAAACAAACAATAATCATAAGAAGATTGAATATGGGACCCAATAATCAGCCAATTGACAATCGGTCAAACCCTAGGACCTATGCATTGGTAGGTTGTTCAATGGAGGCATACTTATAAGTGTACACACTTCGGTGTATGGATGAGTCTTTAAGGCTAGAGTACTGACTCAGTGAGGTGGATATTATGTATGCTGAGCAGCAGCAAGGAGATATAAAATTCATTTGTGTGTATTTAAATTAGGCTCATATTCAAATGATTGAGACAGGTGATGTTTAAAAGTTCGAAACGTCCCATTTTTAGCTGCAGGTGTCGGGGACATCAGGGTGTGAAGGGACTCTTACAGCAGGGGCGGAAGAAGCTACTGCACAGTCTGGTTGAGCCTGCCACAATGTATAGAACTTATCTGGCTTGTGACCCTTTAAAACCAAAGTAATGTACTTGTCATGGCAGATTATGGCCATTAATATAATGTATAAGTTTCCTTTGTACATTGTTCAAGCTGAATTGTTTTAGTGACACAAAGACATAAAAGTATGTCTTTGAGTAATGACCACTATCTCAATTCTCAACACTCATCCTTCATCCCTCTTCTTCCTTTGTAAATAACAGAATGTAAGTGAAAGTCTCCCCAGATATGACTACATCTCTGCACCGTCAGGTCACTTTTTGATGCTTTTGGTCCTCCTCATGAAAACAAACAATTTTTAAAACTCACTAAGCAAGCCCTCAAAAACATTTCATTCAGTCCAAAAGACTCCCTCCTTCCCTCACGGCTGTGTTTGAACGGGCCTCCCCTCTCTGATCTCCACACAGAAAGATTTATGAGCAGGGCTGACAGAGTGGGCTGTATCTCCCCCACTGGCCCAGGGCGACTTGAGCTTCCCTGCCAACCCTCTTCCAGGTGCATGCAGCCCTGCAGCTCTGCTTGTCGGAACGCAGGGGGCTGCCACCAAACCTCATCTCTCACTTCATTTGTAAGATGTCAGACACAACAAATTTTTTTTTTTATTGCCAATCATCCCACCCTCTTTGTGGATTTTTTCTTCTCAGCCTGTATGTTGCCGTGCCATTTCTTTTGATCGCTCATAACAAGACTTTTGAGTGAGACTTTTGATAAGTGTGTGCATGTGAAACAGAGAAGGCTTCTGTTGGCTGTGAATACTTGACAGATTTTGAATATTTGTTAATCCTCTGAAAACTGAGCAAACACTTGAAAGAAAAATTGAAAATTGAAAGAAAAAAATGACAGTGTTTCACATGTGCACATATTTTTATTATAAGAAAAAAACAAATAGACCTCACAGTAATATTTATCTTTGGATATGAGTGACTGAAAACACCACCTGCATCAGTGTGAGCACACAGTTTGTTTTTTTCCACTCTGCCCATTATACCACCAAAATGAATGAATCACGCAAACTTTATGAAAACGCTCACACTGTAGCAGCACAAAGCTCACTGACATCTAGTTTATTCAGCCACTCATTCACTGTCTTTTCATTCATTGTAGCCGTCACAGCTTGTTGCTACCCCCCTTACCACCGCCGCCGCCCCATTGTGTGGCCTGGCGAGGGGGTTTCATACCACGGTGGCAGATACAATGGTGGCATTGACACAGGTGATCCGATGCGTTCAGTCAGGAGTCTGCGCCCTTGTTTCTCTTTTCATGGCTGCGTAAAACATCCTTAGGAGCAATTCCAGGTAAATACCTGTCCAGGTGTTGGCACAGACAAAGACAAGAGGCAGTGTCAATGAAGTCTTCTCCAGCTCTTTTAGACAAAGACAAAGCCTGACTGCACCCTGATAGGTTTGTAGTGACACAGACTTACCCTCGAGTCTGTGTATTGTACTGTTTACCACTGCCTTCTCGTGTTTTTACAAACTACTGCTGTACTGAAAGTTGCAAAACAGAAAGCAGCATTATAATTTTGTCAATGGACACCTGTCGTGCGACTGACTTTTTGGTGTTTTCATAAAACGTGTTCACCCTTACACAAGCTCCAGTTGCTAGTCTTCATAAATCCCTCCAGAATCACACCTGTTGTTGTGGAGATTGAAGTATTTTGGTGCAGTTCCCAGAAATGGCTCATTTAGCAAACGTTTTCTCTGCTTATCTCCGACTTTCTCACTTCTGCAGTTCCTGCGGGTGGATCAGGATAAGGAGTGCAACATGGAATGCAGCGGAGCTCCTCGCAAGCCCCTGTGCGCCTCCGATGGCAGGACCTTCACATCTCGCTGCGAGTTCCTCCGAGCCAAGTGCCGCGACCCCCAACTGGAGGTCATCCGAGGGCCATGCAAAGGTCAGGTCATGAGTCACGCTTCAGCACCGCCTGATGCTCTCAGATGCACAGAGGAGGTCACAGTTGAAACTTGTGGGTTAAATTCATTTCAGCATAATTGATTCTTTGAGTGCTGGGAGGACAAGTGGGGTTGACATGGCGAGAGTGGGTGAGTGGGGGTTCGCTGCTGCCTGGCTGGTTTCATAATTTCACACCATTTGGGTGATGAAGGAAGTGTCATTAATTTGTCAGAATAATAAATTATTTTGTTTTCAGTGGAAACAGGTTTCGTGCTTTGTTGCATCCCATATTAGCATCATGGGACCAAGAGCTTCCTCATTGATTTGAAATGGCCTCTGAAGTGAAATTATTATGCAGCCACGAGGACCTTTGAATGGAATATCTTCACAAGAATTAATGGTCTCATTTTCACCATGCTAGATGTAAAGCTCTACATATGTGACAGATAGATGTTTGGGGATGAAAAGCAAAAGGGGAAGGAGAGCCAGTGAGGTCAAGTAGCTCACAGACTCCCTCATTGTTAGCCGTTGTTGGAAGGAAGAACCCGAACACCCCAACGCTTCAGCCCCAAACTCTCTCACCCCCGCCCCACTCACTAACTCTATACTGCTAGTTCATCGCTCTACAGACTGGGGACAAGCCCCCATTCTTAGCACATTACAACATTAGCCCACTAATGCAGGGAATGTGACCAAAAAGATTTGCTTAAAAGGAAAGTCTCATATGACGGAAAAGCATTCCTCGATTTTATGCCCGTACTGGGTTTCCATGGCGACGTCTCTAAGCGGACATCTGGATGTGGTGGACAGCGCCGGGACACAGAATAGAGGTTTCCAGCCAGGAAGCTGAAAGGGACGAGAGTCCATGAAAGTCATATTGTATGCACCAATAACATCAAGTCTATAAGAGTTTGGACCCCCTCCTGCTTCTGTCTGCTTCTGGACGGGAGGACTGAAAGACACAACAACAGCAGCAGCAGCAACCGAGTCAGCAGCCGAAATAAACCAGAGGGCCTAATAGCACAGAAATGGGATTGTGTTTAAGGATGGTGAGAGTGGCACCACATTTGTTTTCTATCACTGCGCTCGATGATTCAAGTGTCCTGTCATTTTTTCCAGTCAGCGTTTCAGTCGGAGCCCCCTGGAGAAGGACGATGGTTTGGGGTTTTTCCACTGCAGCTAACTTTAGAGCTCCTCAACTCACTGTTTTCCTCCATCCGGAACATCCAACGTCTTGCCCCGTCTCTTCACCAGTGACACACACACACACTAGACTGAGGGAAACCAGTGCACATTCCCGCGCATGTGTCTAATGGACCATCTGCTGTACGCCAAGCCAGCATCATGCAGCCTGCTGACCAAACTGGTGAACGGTTTTAAACTTAAGCATGAGTCATTGTTTTAATGTGATTTGAACCTGCCAGACGAACGCCGTGTGGCAACTAATGTGTCACACCGAGTTACCATCAAACTCATCGCTGCCCAACATTTCTTGAGAGTTTGCACAGCTGCTTCAACTCACCTGGCCAAAAGCAGCAGCTGGAATGATAGGATGAGCCATGGTTCTGACTGTGATATGTGAAAAGACTTGAGGTGAAAAGTTGCTGACCCACATTTATATCAACAAGTACTCTGAGGAGACAGCTTGGCCTGAACTTAGCAGACGGTCGAGGTTTAGGAGGAGAGTGAGACAGACATTAAGAAAGGGTCAGGTTTTCCCTATGCATCAGCCCTTTTCTTGGGTGACTGGAATGTTCTACAGGAGCAGCACGAGCTGCCTCAGTCAGTAATGGCTTTACCACCAGGCACTGTGTAGGCTTGCCTGATTTGCTCCTAATAAGACCGGGGATGTTGGTTCTATTCCCAGCCACACAACTATCTGCCGCTTCCGAAACGTTTTGGATTGTTTCCCCTTCGTCTCTCCTCTCTTCCTGCACTTTTTTTTTTTTCATTCTTCATCATCTGCGAGATTCAACATCTTCTTCTGACTTTTTAAGTATGTTGGTTTCATAGTTGTGCAGCAAAGGAAAATAGTTAAGCTGTGGGTTGAGTCATGGGTCTCTGTGATGTGTAGTAATTCTGGTGATTTGCGGTGCTCCTCAGATACATCCAGATGTGTAGCAGAGAAGAAGTACACAGAGCAGCAGGCCAAGAAGCTTTTCCCGCAGGTCTTTGTGCCTGTATGCAACCCTGATGGCACATACAGTGAGGTAACAAAAAAAAAAGCACTCATAAATTACACTTGTTTTGAGTTTGAGGCGAAGGCACTTGACAAGCAAGGCCACAGTTTCATACCAGCGGTAACATTTTGCAGGAATTGGTCTTTTCTCCTGCACGAATTCAGCTGGTAATGAGTTTTTATGCTGTTCCTTCATATTTCTTTCATACAGATGCCCTTCCTACTGTAGCTCATGCTGACTTTTATGTTTACATGCGGTTTTTATTGCAGGTTCAGTGCCACAGCTACACTGGATACTGCTGGTGTGTCACCCCCAATGGCCGACCCATCAGCGGCTCTGCAGTGGCCAATAAAAAACCACGATGCCAAGGTGGGTAGAACCCAAAACCTATAATGGGTAACCCTCCATATTGTATAAACCTAAACACGCTGTGTTTTCAGTTCACTGCTCTAGCACAGGCATCTCATTTTGTAATAAGCTTGACATTTGGTTTCTGTAATTTTGTGTAGCAATAATGATAAATCGAATTCAACACAGCAAAGCGTGACATTCCATTCTTGTGGGGGGTGTAATCTTGAGTCCTGTGGGAAAGTGGTCAATGACTGGACTGCCGGCCACAGGGTTTGAAAATCCGTACTGCAGAGTTGAGCAACAAAGTTTAACTGTAAGGAATGTAAATGCTCTTGGAGGATAGTGTGTACCAAACAATCAAATAACCAATGCCACATGTCCCCCTTGTGCGTCTCTGTGGGGCTGCCTTGGAGGTTGCTGCTGTCTCAACAGTGAGAGGTCTCCAGGAGTAGCAACAGTAGTTGAAGCAGTGTTTGTCCTGTAATTGCTGACTGTATTGTGTACATAAAGTCTGAAAATTTCCTAAAATACACGTCCAACAGCATGAAGTGTTCGTGATCAAAGCCATTGCAAATATATTTTTAAGAGTTCTTGTTCTTCAGTTCTTACTTAAGTCTGGTGGCTGTTTGTTGTTGTGCGACAAACTCTTGAAGTATGTCAAGGATTTCCTATTTATTGTCTTTTTCAAAAAATGAAGTCCACATTGCGGTGGTAACTTTTTATTTAATCTGAGCCTTATACTTTTCAGGATCAAAACAGGAGAGAGCAACCACAAGAGAACCAGGTAAATCAGGTGAGACATAAAATTCAAGAAAAATGAACTCTCAGAGACACACCGAGTCCTCGTCAATGCATGTGTTTGTCCATGTGCATGTGTGTACCTATTGAAGCCTGCATGTGTTTTGTTCATTTGTATCTCTATTTGCCTGCATCTGTGTCGGAGATGTGCAGACGTGTCACCTGTTAAGGCTTGCCTTTCTAATATTTTGTCAATTCAATAGAGTGTAAGTAGCCTGAAGGCTCATATAAAAGCAGTCTGTTCCTCAGTGACAACTCTGAGGAGAGAGCGTGTGGTAAGCTTTCCTGCACACCGCCAGCAGCTACAGTGCCTACAACTGCCTGTTGTTTTTACCAGGCAGCCAAACGGCCCAGTGCAGCCAGAATGGAGGGACACTGACTTCTTCTCTAACTTTATCTCTCTCATCTTGTTTTTTTTTTCAGCCACAGTGTCATAAGATATAAGGAAATGTTCACACTTAATCCTCCAATCTACTTTCACTCTGTCTTTCATCAAACATCTTCCTTCTTCCAGATACAGAACCACTGAGTTTCCCTCCGACTCCACTCCAGAAATTGTATATCTTGCTCTCATCTTTTAAGAGACAATTTGTTTAACTGATGTGATTTGAAGGCTCACACAGAGTGTAATTTGGGTTTATTCAGATCGATTCCTTATGTGATTGTGTGTGTGTGTGTGTGTGTGTGTCTGTGTGTGTGTGCATGTTTGCATGGGAGAGAGAAAGTGCACATACATCCACTTGTGTTTGTCACATGGGTTATTCCTGTCAGTGTGACATTTATGTCTGCGCCTCTCTCTCTGTAAACAGTCTTGGGTATAGTGTCTGTCTGAGCCCGGCCAAGTCATTACACATAGATCAAGTGGGAATGCAAAATTTGAGAGAGGAGGAGGAATGGTGGGAAAGGGAAAAGAGCGAGGAAAGGAGGTGGAGGGGTGGGTTGTGGTTCAATCCGAGCTGGTTGGATAAACAGGGTGGTGAAAAGCAGAATAAACTGTAGGTTTGTGGTGTGCCAGCACTGAAAATAGCAGTGATTGCATCAATATTTTGATTCAGCAGAAGCCCATCAGTACCTAAGCATTCCACAGCGGCCTTCTGCTGCACTTTTTACTATCTGAATATCAGTTAAACACCAAATGCTGTGCTGTAAACCCAATTTTGCTGCTCAACTTGACAAATTCATTCACATGCTGGAATCATATGCAGCTGACGACTGACTAACAGCAGTAAAACTAATGCCCTATGACCACAAATAGCACGGGGGTTTCCTGGCAGATGCTAAAAGAGGTGTTACAGTCATGTAAAAGGCCACAAAGTAAAGATAGGTCATTAGTGGTTTATCGTAAATCCAAATCATAAATACACTTTTTGAAATGGCATTTCCATCCTTGAAGTGAGCTGAGTAATAACATGTCTGCCTCAGTCAGTCACACTGACTCTAAGTATTTTTATCCACCAAACGTGTTTGAGAAGATGAATGGCTGGCATAGCAAACAAAATGTAAAATCCTGATTTTGCAATAGAAATTTATTGTTGAAGCAAGAAGATTTCAACTTGAGCAGTGCTTGAGGAGCCATCGTTTAGAGATTCCCTGACTCCCTTACACATTAACGGAACTTTACTTTGAGGAGAAGGAGTGGCCCAATCTGAGGTTAACCACACCTACGGCTGTGGTTTCACCCTAAGCGGTTCAAAACCTCCATCCCTGTCTCCCTCCTGCCGCAAATCAAACAAACAGAGACCAAACAAACATACTCGATTCTCCCACCGTTAATTGGTTCATCTCAGACTTGGCTACTACATCTTTCACCCCTCATGTCTCTCACACCTTCACACAGCTCTCATAACCCAAATGCAGGCAATGAAAGGATGGAGAAGAACGTCAGGGACAACTGGTCCTAATTCTCTCTTCATTTATTATAACCGACCTCAATCTGTCCTCTGTAACATAACTACCTCCCTTGTTGCATGAAGGGAAACCACGGGGATATGTGACCACGTCACTCGCTTTCCTCATCTCTTCTCTTATTGCAAGTCACCTCTTTGACTTTTCATCACAACCCCTCTTTGTTATTTTCTTCACCTCTGCCTCCATCCTTCTTGACCGGGCAACGTGCAAATCTCACATAGTTAAGTGTTCTCTAATCTAGCTTACTCTCGTAATTGTAGTCTCCTTGCAAATATTCTCCATTCTAAATGCAGATGAGACCGGCCTAGTGGTGGATCCACAGCCTCCTGGAGATGAAGAAGGTGAGTTCTTATTCATTAGACCGTGTGTGCTAAATGTTTGATACTGTGCCTGTGTTTACTGAGACTCTGCTAAGTGACTCGAAAGCAAAGTTCCAAAACATCCTTAAAAGGGAAAAGGAGTCTGAACATGAGGCAGTTGGAGTACCGTGCTTCCAGAACGGTCACTGGGGAAAATGTGATGCTAAAAAATGTTTATAGTGATAAACTGTGAAATATTTTATAGACAACTTCTGTACAAGTGTGTTTTTACTCTTTTCTCCCCATACATTTGATATTAAAGCAAATATAGTGGGGAATGTTACTAAGTATATTTAGTCGAGTATTGTACTTAAGGTATTTATACTTCTTGTGAGTCTTTATTTTAGTGACACTTTATATTTCTACTCCAGTACATATGGGAGGGGAAAAAATATTTTTGTATTCACAGCATTTGTCTGACAGCTTTACTTACTAGTTATTTAACAAATGATCATTTCTGCACTCAGAACATATGAACATGATATGATGTTTTGTCATTACTTCAACCGATGCAATGATTTTTCTTTTTTTTCATAGTCCAGCCTCACAAATATAAAGATTTATTGCTTTTAAAAACAGTTTTTGTCAATTTAATGTGAAAATATATTGAAATTTTGACATTTGGCCTCTTAGTTGGAAAAAAAAAACAAGCATAGTAGAGGCATTTTTTTCAGCGCTGGGTAGTTGCGATGGCATTTTTAACTATTTTCAATTTTTATAAACAAAAAAAATCAATCAATTAATGGAGAAGATAATCAGCGGATTAATCCATAATGAAAAAGATGATTAGCTGCAGTCCTGTACCTAATAAATTGCTCTATCTCAACCAACTGCAACAGCAAAATCTTACTTTTACATTAATGCACGAGTGATAATAACCTAATGATGCCACAGGGGACGTTTTTCTGTACTAAGCACTTTTTAAATACTTTAACTATATTTTTCTGAACATGTTTACAAATGATAACTTGGGTAACAATTTAAATGCAGAATTTTTAGTTGCAACAGAGTATTTTTACGTTGTGCTATTAGCACTATTACCCAAATAAATGATCTGAAAAACACTGAAAGCATGAGTGCAATTTTTGTCTTGTGTTTTGGGGATTTTTTGCCTTTATTTAACAGTGGAGAGAGACAAGACATGCAGAGAAAGAGAGTAGGGAAATGGCATGCAGAAAAGCATCAAACCGACTCGTAATGGAACCAGGATTCCCAGTTAGAAGTTATATGTACCCTGACCACGCAGCCATTTGATCATTATTTTTGTTGAATAATGCAGTTGCAGCTGAGGAACAGCAGTAAGCGTTAAAACATAGTGTAACTGTAGCAGAAGAATAGAAGATTTATTAAGCTGGTTGTAATCTGTGTTTTACAGAAATATTGATCTCGCTGGTTAACATTTTATATTGTGGTTTTACTATATTCGCTTCCAGTAATCTCCAGCAGGCAGAGGAAACAGTTTCCTACATTTCTAGTTCAATAAATATAACCCATCACTGTGAACAGAAGGCAAAGTTGCATTTGAGCACTTAAATCAATCTTTTATATATTTCAAAGACAGTCATATTTTATGATTCCATGCTGATGTGACCATTTGACAAGACTCACAGCAATAGATTACACTCTGCCGACCCTTCTTTCTGCTGCTTTATCTCTGGTCACAGCTGTTATATGTAATTTACTCTCCTCATCCACTCCAGTGGTTTGAGATACGATAACCTTGATGTACATTTTCCAGTCTGTGAGTTTTGGAACCACCAGGTTTGGCTCAGATGATATACGAGTATGTTTCGGATTGAAGCTAATAAAGCTGTCTTTGCGATTTCTTTCAGACATGATTTCCCAGTACCCCACTCTGTGGACGGAGCAGGTTCGCAGCCGACAGAACAATAGAACCAGAGCACCATGTGAGTTTCAAAGACCGCTTTTTCTTTAATGATGGCTATCGGGTGTTTGCAAACCTCAACTGAAAGCATTCTGTGTTTTTCCGACTTGTGTGAGCAATCATGGTTTGAGGCTGTTCCTGTCTTTTAAGGACAGATGGTGGGTTGTGAAACCAATACATCTTGGTGTTGGAGTGCGTCAGGCTTTGAGGATCTGCTTCTCTGTGGTTCTTCGCATTGCATCGTATCTGTAATTACCAGCACATGGCACAAACACAGGATCTGCTATTCTTTTGGCTGGTCCATCCCACTCTCTTTTTGACACACATGCACGATTATCTTTTTTATCAGTTGCGCCTTTGCTCTTGGGGAAATATGTTGCTTTTGGAAATATTTAGCTTCTAGTATAAAACAATACTTTTTTTATGCTGGCCTAGAGATGAGAACCCTCTGTGCATGTGTGCATTTGTGTGTGAATCCCATTATCATAATTTACAACCAATAAAAAGCCAGAGAAATGCAGCATTGATGGTTTTGATTACCATGTGCTCTTTGGGGTATTGGGGTGAAAAAAAAAACACCCACCCCAACAAAGAGAGGCCATACAGAGGAACTGGAGCGAAGAGAGTCAGTTGAGAAAGCGGGGAGGCATTTCATTTGGTCTCTTTTGTGTGGGTAAAAATCACTAATGAAAATAAACAAAGAAAAGGGATATCCATAATCCTGCAGCAGCTTCCGAGCCTTGAGGCCAGCACCAAAGAGAGGAAGCGATTGGGCGATGAAAGCCCTCATGGTCAGAAGAGCTCCTCTTCCATTCTCGGGTTTAATGCTCATATCTCTGCTGGAGAGCTACAAGGCAGAGAGAGTGGCTGCTGCACAAAAAAAAAAAGTCTGATTAGATCCTGCTGAGGTTGTGCAGAATCTCATCTCTCTCGCATCAAGATCACCGCATTCTTTGTATGTGTGGATAGAAGAAAGGATCACAAAATACTGCGTTCTTCCTGAGAATATTGATGGCATAAACAAATAGCTCTCCGGTACTTTACAGTATCCTGCAGTGGTGTCAGCGTGTGTGGGTGTGTGAAGGCAAAAAACCCGACTGACCACTGTTCTGCCTTTGTCTTGTCTGTTTCTCTGTCTGTCATACACATCCACAAAGGGCAGTTGGGTATCCAAATATTTACTTAACTTGGGGCATAGTTAGCTGTACTTAGTCATTAGCCCGTTAATGTCCGTAAACAGTGCCATGGGGAGCCGATGTAGCAGTCTACACACACTGTCTCCGAGCACTTGGCCTCCACCCCTTTGGCTTCCTCCTCCTCCTCAAGGATTTTTAGCAATAGCTGTCGTAAGAGAGCAGCTTTTTGGTTTTAAATGGAAATTAGTTCAAACTTACTGCATGAATCCAAATGTGTTTGCAAGATCCGGTTTCTTGTTTCTTCAGATTTAAACTTGTATTGAGTGTGCGTGTGCTCATTCACACAACTTAGACCACCTAAGTGAATGCTGACTTTATGGGGAGCGTGTGTCTGTGTGAGCCAAGTCTGGTGGTTTCACTTAGGGCAACATGTACCAGTGATAGACACCTCATCAAAACCTGCCATGAAAGCGCATAACGACAGTTGCATGAATAAACCCCAACTGTGCTTCGTTCCCGGCTCACGAACAGCCTGTTATACCTTGATAATGGAGCCCTGCGTCACTCTCCGCAAGGTTTCTATGCAGGTCTCCTGAGACGTGCTAATCCGCAGCCACAAACCTCCCCTGGTATAGATAGGGGTCAGTGGTTGCCGACCCTGTGTCTCCAACCATCCCCAACTACGCCAATGGACTTTGTGTTGGGGTTAGGGTGGATGCTGGTTCAGGGTCTCTGATCAGTGACAGTACCTGTGTACCTTGATAAATAGGCAAAAATTGTCCAATTTTTTATTTTTTTTTGGCTGGTCTTTATTACAGATAGATCATTCAAAATTATCAATAATTCTCAATACTGATTTGAAAATGTCATTGTGACAAATTTTTCAGTTATATCGCCTAGCCCCAGTTTCACCTCATGCAACAAGGGAGACTACCTCAGGGATTACTGTTTCTAATTGTCACTTCATTTATTGCAGTAGACTTCAGTCCGTCCTTTATGTTCTTCATCACATTGCCTTCACTTTCCTGTGTGACCCCTGATGTCTATTTCCAGCTTCATCATGTGACCAGGAGCAGCAGTCTGCCCAGGAAGAGGCAAGACAGCACAAGAACGACGCTGTGTTCGTCCCAGACTGTGCCCAAGGAGGACTCTACAAGCCGGTCCAGTGCCATCCCTCCACTGGCTACTGTTGGTGTGTGCTGGTAGATACCGGACGCCCCATACCAGGGACCTCCACCAGGTGGGTCAGACATCACCTATGTAACACCCTTGTGTTATTTGGCTATTTTCGTGCTTATCTATGATACTCTTTCCCCCTAATTCACAAACATTCCTGGAATTTATTGTTCAGTTCTGTGTTGCTACATAAAGCAGGTGAGTGATCATTAGCCACGCTAACAGAGCAGAGTGGCCAGAAGATGGAGCGTCTGGAGAGAGGACGACCCCTTGTGCCCTTTAGCAAACATCTTCCGCACTATAATATCCTAGAACTATGCTAAGCACTATCTTCACACAGGTTTGCAACCGATTTGAAATAAACCGACTTTCAGACACAAAAAACAAATTTCTCTGTTTGAAATTTGTTAAAATGCACGTCTGACGTAAGCATGCAGATAGACAACTCCATTGCTATGACATGGAGTGACTCAGTGGTCTGGTGAGCGGCAGGTCAGAGGTCAGTCAGGCTGGCAGAGTGGGACACTGGTACACTCTTATTGAGCAGCATGGCTGGGTATCAAATTAACAAGGGTCCAGGCAAAGTGCCAGACAACACATTAGCACACATATGGAAGTGTGGATTTTCTTCCTTGTTCCAGACCAGCTTTTGGTCCAGTCACGCAGCAGCGACTGGGGCTCTGTTGTCTCTTCAAGGGAGGCTGTGAAAGCTTCCTTGTGTCCCACGCTCCCTGTCTGCCTCTCTTCTTCTATCTCTCTCTTTCTCACCCTCCCTCCTCATTACTGTCCTCATACCAGCTCCAAATCCTTCCCCTCTTTTTGGATGTGTTTCACAGCCCCTGGTTTGCCACAAAACAATTATTTGAATCCCTAAGATTTAACTGTACGGGGTAATTGGAAAACATGGGATTCCTTACTGATTTTATGATGATGCTAGTTTTACTGCTATAAACAATTCCTTTCACCCATTTCACCTTGAGTAAATTGACGTTTTTATGGGGGTTTTTTCACATGGCTTATTTTCTGTTCCAGGTATGAACAGCCAAAATGTGACGGCAATGCCAGGGCCCACCCAACTAAACCTAAAGACCATTACAGAAGCCGGCATCTCCAAGGTAGGCCTCTAAAGACTGGACTCAGTCTCTGTTTTTCCTCTTTGTTCAGACCACATGGTGAAGTTCTTCAGCAGTCGACCTCCAACTGCTGCTGCGCTTTCAAGGTTGTGATAACAGTGCGAGTGTGTGTGTTGACAATATAAGCACTCTTGGTCAAGGAAATGTTTGATAAAGAGTTGAGGATTGCCAGATACTGTTCTTCACTGGTCAATAAGCAGGGAGACAGAGACGGATTGGAGGGAGGATTAATCTTCAACTGACACGGGAGATGGATGATAGTGTGATGAAAGCACAGTGGAGAAACAGCAGGGAGGTGAGGCACAGATAATGGATAATAGGATGCCAGAGACAGGTACTGATACTAGGATTGATAACAGAGGAGATAGCTAAATTGAGGGCGGGAGATCAATTTGGGGGTTGCGGTCGTGCGGTGGGCTTAGTTACAGGTGAGACTGTATTTACTAGTGAGGATTTGACACTTCCAAACCATATATTTTTACAGTATTTACAACTGGATAGGAGTCAAGACGGACAAAACGATCAAGTGACACTTTATTTAAAAGCAGATTTTAAGAAATTTTAAAGCAATAAAATGCTTGATCAGGTACAAAGACTGCTTTTACTAGAGAGCCTTCCAAAAAGAAAAACAACAGATTTAAAAACAATGAGTGTGTAAATTCAGTGATAAAGGATGAGGTCGGGGTGGTTGGACAGGTCAGCAAAACATCAATGTTGTGTCACAGCAGTGTTGTATTAAGATTAGTGTAGGTTTCTCTCAACCATGACCATATCATCTGTAGAAACCTTAGTTATTTAAACGAAAATGAAATTTCCATGCTATATTGTGTTGCTGATACGGAGTGACAGATCATAAAATGCGTAAATGTGTGTGAACAAATTGGCACTGACTGCTTATTTTGCTCTTGCTTTACCTTCTAGCATATAAAAACACCATATGGATGTGTTAACAAAGTAAAACGGAAAAATAAAGATTTTCACCAGAGGGGGTGTTTACAATAATTGTTAAAAAAAATTCTGTTTATATATTCCACTCGCTGAGCTGCTTAAAGTGTCATCATTTACCTATTCTACCTACTAAAGTCTTGCACAGGCAAAGCTTCACAATGCATTGGATGGAGTGCATTCACTTTTGTTTTCATCTCTCATAACTGCATGACTTGCCTTGTCATCAAACCAATGATAAGTGAAGTAGAGTTACAGCTCTCAGCTGCTGCCTACAACCAAATCACAGTTTAAAGCTGAACGGTACTTGGCAAATTTGCTGTTTTTTGGTGGTTTGGTAAACATTTTATTAATCCAGCAGCATGTGAACAGAGTTGCCACTGTTCCTTCCCATCCACAACTGTTTATGTAACAGTGTGCCAGGCAAGAGCTGTGCTCGCTGCTTGCAGGTGCTGCATTTAGCAACAGAGTTGCACTCCGTCTCTGCTCAAGCATCGGGGGCCTCTTGTGCAGTTTATATAAAACAGAGGGATAGACTGTCACAGATAGATACTTATAAAACCGACAAATGTTGCTCATCTTTGCTCTCCAGTGGTGGTGGTGTATGTTATTGCTTAGATATTGAGCAGGGATAATTATAGTCTGTAAGTGTTAGCTCAAAGGGGGTGGAAAGGGTGGAAAGGGGGTGGGGGTGAAAAACAGCCACAACTATCCCTTGAGAAAGATCTCAAGCCCAACTGAACACCTCTTAAACACGTCGTGGTCGAACAGAAAACAATATATTTATTCAGGCATGCAATCACCTAAAGCTCACACAAGTACACAGACTTCATTCTGAACCTGTCAAAGAAACCTGCAGCCTATCAGCCAGGTTTTCTATTATAAAATATGCCAGGATATAGTCAAAAAAACGCAGCATCTTGTTTTCTTTATGAGCAATTGCGTCAACGGCTGTAAACCCTGTTACTGTATGAACCAAGGATAATTATAAATGTTGCCTTTACGTTGCTGCAGCCCATTTGCTGTTGAAGCGCTGGTGTTGAGAGGTTTATGGGGCGAGATGCGAGAAAGGAGCAACTTGCCCTGGAATAGGCAGGAAAGGAAAGCTGAGTATTTGGCTAGCGCTCTCCCCAGAGCAGGATCATGGGATAGCATTGGGGCAGGTATTGGGAGCTGTGACTGTGAGTGCTGACAGTTCGCTGCCCCAACACTGCTGCTTATTGACAGTAACACACAGACACACACATGTAAACATGCACTTACCGGCCAGCTTTTCACAGATATATGGAGGCTTTTGAATGGTGGTGCAGCTCAGCTTTTCAACAAGAAAAACTGAAATCACTTAAGTCTTTCTACACTTGATTCCATCCTGCATCTGTCAAACTTAGGCATTACATAATTGTAATCATTATGGAATAAGACAGCAGCCTTTTACTGCTGCAGCCTTGACCTGAACGGAAAATGGCCAGACTCAATTTCCTTTGAATGACAGAAGGCACATTTGTCTCCTGCCCTTCAGCTAAACAGTGTCCAGACAGACAGAAGCTGATCTGTCCCACCCCCACAAGAAAAACCTTTGCTGCCAAGAGGAAAGGAATGGAGCATTACCTGATGGCTTCCCTTTTGAATGAACACCAGACATGCTCAGATTCCTGCAGCATTACGGAGAGGACGTGTGCTCTCCATGAAAAACACTAAGCCTCAAACAAGTCCAACTGCATCCCACAAATCTCTCTCCAGGCAGAAGCCAGATAAAAAACACTTTGCCTTCTGAGGATGCAATTGTGTGGCTGTCTAGACTAATTTACCACAAGAGGCTCCGCAAGGCACCAGTTTCACTATTAACAGGTGGGTCAGATATTTTATTGGGCTTGGGCCAGGGACGGCCTCCTAAAATTTTAGTGCAAGTCTGTTCAGCGTGTAAAGGAGACTGTGGAACAGTTTGGACATGTGAATGTTTTAACCCTCGGTGCAGAACAGGCTGCTGAAGCACTGAAAGGTGGGGTAGAAGCTGGGTGTTTACGTCGATGCTGGTCGCCACCTGTTAGAGGTGCAAAGCATGCTATTATCTCCAACACAGGAGAATCTGGCCCCGCAGGCCTGGGCCATAAAAAGAGCAGCAAACTGTGGAGAATTTCTTCTCCTCCACAGGCACAATAGCAGAGGGAAGCTGGACAGTGAAAAAGAAGAGAGGAGCTGGGACTGGAATCCAGGAATCTCTTTGGCCTCTGTAGCCTTCAGCTCTTCAAGAACAACCTTGGTCTCTTCACTCTTAAAACTATACGGCCAAACAGACAATTACTGTCATTAGGGTCATTTCACCTCTGTTGTCCCTCATTTTAATTTTTTACCGTCATTCTGCATGTAATAATGCTTCACTGTTGGTTTTTAGTGGGACATTAATGATAGATTAATTAATAGGCTAATTATGTTACCCTTTATATCTCTTAGGTTTTGTGTCCCTTGGCCTCTGGATGCATACCTTTAAATCAGACAAAATCCTAACTAACAATGTGTCTGTCAGCCTCTTGTCCATACATACAATTTTCCACAACATCTTTTGTGACTATTGCTGTCAAACCACTCAAGGGCCTCCAGGATGATTGGCAGGTATACCCTCTTCCACCTCCAGATGAGGGGAGGTCTGATACTTTATGAGAGCGAGTAAAAGATAACTGTGAGAGTCTTGGGTTTATTTTCTCCTCTGCTGTTTTTATGTGCTGTTCACGGTAAAACTACGCTGCCTGTTACATGACGTCCCTCCCCAAACATTTATTAGGCCACCTATGATGGCACGGCAGCATTCCACATATTTGTAAACCGGTGGACAATTTTTCTTTGTTTTGCTGATTATACGTACACTTACTCCATATTAACTGCATAATTCATGCTCTTACACACTCCTGTATCTGTGCTTCATTTTCCAGGCTGTCCTGGGGCAAAGAAAACAGAATTCCTGACAAGTGTTCTCGACGCGCTGTCGACAGACATGGTGCACGCTGTCACAGATCCAGCATCCGCCGGAAGGTATGACATTTAGAAGGGGATAAGTTCATCTTGCGATTATTTATGCATTATCAGTGGGTTTAGCCATTCAACACAAAGTCCCAAATTTATTCCACTCTCCCATTTTGGTGAGATTGAATACTGGGATAGTAACTAGACTCCATGGAGTTATTTTAGATGCATGCAGGCATAGAGAAGTGATTATTAGCTGATAAATTGATAACTTGATACCTGACCTTTAGGATGGCTGAGCCCGACCCCAATCACACCCTGGAGGAGAGGGTTGTCCATTGGTATTTCAGTCAGCTGGACAAAAACTCCAGTGGTGACATTGGGAAGAAGGAGATCAAGCCTTTCAAACGCTTCCTGCGCAAGAAATCCAAGCCAAAGAAGTGTGTTAAGAAGTTTGTGGAGTACTGCGACATCAGCAACGACAAGGCGCTGTCTCTGCAAGAGCTGATGGGTTGTCTTGGAGTGACCAAGGAAGACGGTAAGCTGAACAACACAGCTTGAAGTCTGAATGCATTCTTCTACTCAAAATCATTCTTAAATTGGAATATTGATGGACTAAATATTATAATCATAGCAGTCAAATGACACCTCAGAATTAGTTTGTACATGTGGCTCTAGTAACCCTACCATGGTTGAAGGGATTGTTTTCAAAACTGAAAATACAAGAGCACAAGGTAGGTGACGGATTACAGAGTAACTTGTCTTACTTTTAGAATCTTTGCAGCTCTGGATTGACATGATATCAAGTGTGTAAATATCAAACTTTAGGTCCCTGCTGTAGACTTTTTGAGTCACAGAGTTTTTAGTCTGCTGCTGAAGCAAAAGTATAATATAAAAGTAATAATTAGTTATACTGTACAACACAATAGAATAGAATAGAATAGAATAGATCCATTATCTATCTATACACCGCTTAATCCTCACTAGGGTCGCGGGGGGGCTGGAGCCTATCCCAGCCGACTTATGGCGAAGGCAGGGGACACCTTGGACAGGTCGCTAGTCTATCACAGAGCCACACAACCAAGCACACTCACATTCACACCTACGGACAATTTAGAATCACCAATTAACCTCAACATGTTTTTGGACTGTGTGGGAGGAAGCCGGAGAACCCGGAGAGAACCCACACTGCACGGGGAGAACATGCAAACTCCACGCAGAAAGATTCCGGTGCCCCCACCGGGACGCGAACCGGCAACCTTCTTGCTGCGAGGCAACAGTGCTACCAACTGCGCCACCCTGCAGCCCAGAATAGAATAGAATAGAATAGAATAGAATAGAATAGAATAGAATACTTTATTGATCCCCCATTGGGGGAAATTTACATGCCACTGCAGCATCCAAAAATATAGAAAGTACAAGAAAATAACAATAACATCAGTTGTCACATCACCTGGTTAAAGTGATGGTTGTTGGCTAAAAATGAGAAGCCTACTTTGGTCTACACCAGTGTGAAAACAGGTGCTCAATAGGCAGTTTTTAACTGTAGGAACTTGCGAGCCATTTTCGGGTGTCCTGAGCATTTGTGCATTTTCCAGTCGCAACAACTGCTCCTTTAGGACTTCTTTAGGGCCATTTTAGGAGAATAAAAAAGTCCAAGGTAGGTGTTTCTGAGCAGCCCTGTACAAACAGCTTTGTGGGGCTGAATGCTGATTGTTCAAACCTGGACAAGACAACCCTGATGGGTTAAATTTGGAGTGGACAACGACCACCATTTTTTCTACCGTCTCCCTACAGTCCTGTCTCCCTATCATCAGCATCAATGAATGTAAAATTTGTCATGTTGGCTAACATAATAAGCCTCCATTGTTCCATTTCCTGCATGCACATAGACCTAGAGCGACAACCAATTACTACTGTTTGTCATTGTTTGGTTAACATCGCAGTTGTCACTGTTGGATCATACACCACAGTGGAAACAGAAAAGGGCCCGTTCTTGTAAACCTTTGTGTCAACACGTCCCGTCTGCAAGTTCCTGCAGTGGAAAGCCAACTACTGTTTCAAAAATTGCTAGTAACTTCAATGATAAATTTGCCACTGCAGCCATTGTCACTTGTATGTAGTGCTTGATTGGGCAGTTTGTAGTGTAGCAGTTCTGAATGGACAATGCTTGTTGAAGGGTCTGTACTCTATGGAGCTAAGTGATTCTCTCAGCCTGTCACTTTTGTCTTACAGGGGCCAAACCAGGAGATGGCTTATCTTCCAGTAAACTAGTAAGTAAAGTCCTGCTCCCGTACTGGTGAATGATATGGCTCTAAGAGAAACTAGCAGCACATTTAACTGTAATGCTGTTTTATCTATTTTTACTGACAGAAGCTTACAGTCATTAAAAAGTTGTCAGACTAAGTGCAAAGAAATGAGGGCATACGTCCAACTGAAGTCATCTTAATTTCCTCTCCTCAGAATCCCTCAAAGAAGCAAGGTTAAGCCTGACAACTGAGATTTCCCCTTTTCTCACGGAGAATCTGCCCTGACCAATCGGCAATAATGGAAACCATAGTATTTGCACTTTGTACTTTAAAAAAAAAATGTAAATTCACTTTGTAGAAATAAGGTATTTAAACAGACTGCTGAATCTGTGAATGATGTAGTTAGCGTTTTATGTCCTGACAAACAAAAAATATTTTACACATACAATGTATGTGTCCTTTGTGCGTTTAAAAAAGTGTGCTTTTCAAAGTTGTACAAGTTTTCATGTTTGATGTTGTATTTTGTGCCCCTTTGCGAAGTTTACTTTTCCTTTCATGTTGATGATATTAAAGCGGATATATGGATAGTTTGCTACACGGCTACAATAACTTAGACCATGCCATCTCTCATGTACTGACCTATTGCATTTTTTCCTGTGCTTTGTAAAGCAGTTTGCAAGAATGTTTTAAAGATACATCATAAAAACGTCCTACATGTTCACATATATTCATGTTTATTAGAAATAAAGAACTCTTTTATACATTTTGTTCTTTGCGAGTGTCAAAGACGCTGAATTAGGTCAGCAAATTCCTTTCTCTCTAATCCAATTAGTCTTCTATATTTTTTCTCGTTATATAAATCTTGTAATGTCTTTGCCATTTTGTGTTTTCTTTTGGTGTCTTTAATAAAACACCTTGTTGACATAGTCTTTAGGAGCCAAGTAAGTATTAGTCATACATTGCAAAGGTCGTGTATCATCCCATTTTCAGACAGTTTGCCAATTCCCCTCAGGCAGCATTTTCGAATTGGAAAACGGGATGGTACTTATTTCTGTTCTCATCCGAGATTTCCCACATAGACTGAAGACAGATAAATAGACCAATCTCGACTGTGTATACAGTGCCCAGTAAAAAGAGCATTATAAGAGCTAGTGTGTGAACATGTCTATTTGCATAAGGTGTACTTACATGTATACAGTGAATGTAAATTTAAACAGTCACTGAGGTTTGAATAGAATCTTTGTTAAGGAACAACATTCAGCTCAGAGCAGCCTCGACACGTTACACTACTGTACATTGTTCCTGTCTAATTATGTTAGGGCTACTAAGCGGCAAGTTGTGGCTTTTCACACATAAAATCCCCTGAAGGGCTGAGTGACTGACCTCAGACTGACCTGCTCGCTCAGGCTTAGCCTTTAATTTATGATTAACACATCGGTCTTCTTTCTGTGATATAATCCAGCCCAATGGTCTGGTTTTAACACACCAGGGGAACACATGAAGAGAGATTATAACTGATGCTGGATTAGCGATGGATAACCTTTTTAGCCTTTTTAAGCACCTTCTCCAGCCTAAGCAGTGGAAAAGTTGTATCAAAAGCAACCGTTCCAAAGCAGCAGAGATATATAGGTCTCTATCCGTGAGAAAAACCCAGCTCATACTGCAAACTTCGTCTTTCTGTACATTGAAAACCTCATGCCTAGTGTCTACTGCGGTTGGCTCCAGTCTCCTGCCACCCTCTAAGGGACAAACAGGCATCGGTAATGTATTGATGTTTGCTTGCTAAAACTTAGTCTTGTAATTATAAATTCCCAATCAAGATCCATCTTTTTGCTAAATCCCTAATTTTCACTCATGTTCCTGGCACTACCACTATGCCTAGAACAACATTTGCTCTTCCCAAACAGCCATGTAATCTGTTAATGTTGCCATGCTGGTTGCAGGTGTAGCAGCACATCCAAAAAACTCATCAACCTGCAGCTAAATCCGTAGCCAACCTCTTGACTGCTGCTAAAACTCCACCCAACACAATGCTGAAGCCTTGTCATGTGTGATTCCAACTCCCCTGGGCTGAGATGCACGTAAACACGTTTTATGATTTGGCTGGATGTCAAGGCATGGTTTTCCGAATATGTTCCCCTGATGGCTTGGACTCCTGCCTGAACTGATGGAGTAGCTGAGGAAAAGTATCCAAACTTTTTGGCCCGGTTACCGGCACCTTCTCACGATTGGCGAGGCCTCCCCCTCTCCTGCTCCTTAGTCCTGCTTCCTCACTTTTCTCACTCCCATATGCGCAAACACACTGGCTGAGCACAGAGATACCATTGAGCCTGGTTTGTGGGCACAGTTTGTGTGCTTTAATGGGCAAGAGGAGGCACCCGATCTCACCGCTGGCAAGCCCCGCGGGCTGTGGACTCATGAAGAAATTACTGTCAAAAGCCATCAGGGCTTTAATAGCCTCTGGCCCAACTGCGGCTTCCCCCTGGCCTTCGGAGGGGTTCTGGTCTGTGGGTAAATAGCAGGAGGACAGCCTTCACCCTGGGACCCCCCTCTCTTACTGCTTTCCTAGTGTGGCCCAAACACCCCAGCAGTTCACTCAGCACCACAGAACACAGACATTACACTCAAGAAAATGAACTGCTAGAGGAGGTGTGACTTTTTATTGGATGGGGTGCAAAAGCAAAACAAGCAGTGTTGTAAGAGACTAGGTACGCTCACACAAGGGGCCTTTTCATAAACTTTATCTCCCCTCAAGATGATTTCATTTGTTAAGGTGACTTACAGCAGTATGTTCAACTTTACTGGAACTGTGCTTATTTAGCAAATGTTTATTTTGTATATTTAAAGACCCCTCTGATGAAAATCAAGTTTTTATCTTGCTAGTATGTCCATATGGTGTTTTCCATGTGTTGGAAGACATACCATAGGTGGAATAATGGACTGCATTTCTGAGCATTTCTACAATAAAACTGCAGCAATACCAAAGACTCTACCAAAAATATGAATTCAGATTTTCAGGGTTTCATAAGTAACAAAAACAAACAAACAGTCCTCTCTAGTTGTAGGGTGGAATCATCCATATCAACATTCTTTTCAAAGCTGCGTATGTAATCGCTGAATTACTGCAATATTACAATCAACTTGAGTCGTTTTACAGTGTTTGAGAAGCCAGTGTTCAGTCTTATGTGAGCTGGTGTTCTTGGGCTGCATCAAGTAGCGAGAGAGAGGCATTAACGTTATAGACCTGCACATTCTAGATTGAGTAACAGTGTAGGGTAACATCTAAGCCATGCTAAGGTATGAAGGGATGGTTTTCATGGAATAAACCTCCAAATATGCAACGCAGACAAACAGGAACTAGTTTTTAGGGGTTAATCAACAACCAATGAGCAACTTTACCTTAAAAATAAGAAAAACAAGCAAACAAAACAGAAGAGCTCTGTGGTGCGGAAACAAGGTGGCAACTGCGACTTTTCATTGGTTGTTATTTTTATTATTCATAATAGGAAAAATGACACACAAAAGCCAAAGTGTTTCATAAATGTTGTTTCTGTCATTCTAAGCATGAAAAGTGAAATAAGTGAGCTCCTCTGAAAACTGTAGTGTAATTCATATTCCTACACATTCTCTAGCACAAAGACTGGACAAGTCTTACCATCACCTGTAAAGCTCACTATTCAACACTTTGTATGTCATTTGTTTAATGTGTATATGAGGTACTGTCGTGTGTCAAAAAGACTCGTGCACCTGGCCGAAAAACAGTCTCTCACAGATACACAAAGCACAATCTGCTGTTTTACCAACCCAGTCTCACGACAATTTGTGAAATAGTCACAAAACTTAATCTATTGTTTTGTGTCCTGGGACACAATTTGCCCTGCTTTTTCGTGTTCTCCATCACGAATTTCAAACCAATACGTTTCAATTGGAATTATCTTTCATGTCTGGGCCACGTTTTTTTCCCCATTAGACAACGCATATGCTGTGATGTTTTTGGCGTTCTTTTCTTCTGACAGTCAGGCATTAACCAATTTTACTGTTGTGGCCCGTCCACAGTAATAACTATGGAGATCACTATAAAGATGTTTGCGGCCTCACTGACGAATGTTAAGTTTCTGTAAACATTGGCGTTGTGTATAAGCTCCGTATTCATTCAAATAGAAAAGACAAGAAATATCCAGGCAGAGAGAGGCTGTTCTGAGATCGCTCTGAAAGTGATCCCAACGATATTGTTAATAGCTATTATCGTTTATTTGTCACAAAATATAAGTGCTTTTACTGTGTTTGGGCTACATGCTCATTCTAACTTTCATTTCTCTGTAACCGAATACAACTCTGAAAAGAAGGACACATGCAGGAAAATGGCGACCAGAAGATGTGCTGTGATCGCAGAGATGAATAATCTGACTATTGTATCTGAGAGGCCAGCAGTGGGGAATAGATCTGTAGCTTTGTGAAGCTTTTAGCTAGCTTGTCGAGGCTGGCTACATTAGCTACTAGCCTAGCCTTGCTGCTGTTGCCTCTTCTTCTATTGATTTGGCGGTTGGCATCCAACGTTCAGTTGCATTCCTGCCACCTACTGAACATGCGATAACATTACAGACTCTGTAGGACGGATTTCTTCCAGGTCTACGGTGGGGCTGATGCTAACAGGAATGCCTTAGCAACAAGCGCAGATTTCCCCCAAACACTGCTGGTGTAATAAAAACACTAAAAATACCACAATACGATGTACTCTTTTACACTTACTTCATGTTACACGTATTATACTTTAACAGTAGCACATTTGTCAGTACTTCAAGCCGTTTATTGTAATTTATAAATACAAAAACAAAACCCTAGTTGTAAACCCCAAGAAGAACTGCATATTTCATGGCGTGTTCAATCACCTTGTATCTTAACGCTACTGGAAGTTGTAGTTCTTTCTTCAAAATAGCCGTTTCAGCCGTTTCGTAATGGAGGCTGAAATATAACACTTTAAGTGCATTTAGGGGTTTAAATTGTTGAGAAACACGTTTAGACTGAATTTACAAATGAAACTTAGATATATACATATATATATATATATATA